TACAATAAACAAGTCATATGGCTCAAATGGGTCACATGCGCAAAACCCATGATCTCATAACGAGGTCATGTGCTAAATATAATCATATGTGCAAGGCATACCCGCAAGGCACACTTGCAAGACATACTTGTCAGATGTACATCCCATGACTCATATTTGAGCCATATGTGAAAGCATCATACATCACACATATAACAAATCAAATAACTCGAATGAGTCATATGTGTGAAATTATACCATACCTGTGACTCATAACCATGCATTACGTGAAAACCCTTTCCCTGCCAAGCCACATTCGTGATACTAACACCCACTTCTGGTACCCTTATGGGGCCTGTGTGACTTCATGTATATCTATCTTAGTTGTATCTTGCGACTATATGGTCACAGAATTGAAGATGTCAGAATAATACTGTATACATCGCTGCTGTCTGTTCGACCAGATCCTGTTTTAGGGATATGTGAGAGGTGACCTTTGGTTAGGTCTGGGAAGTGGAACAGAGTAAATCGGTTAACTACTCAGAGAGTTACTAGGCTTTAAAGATGTAATATCTTTTTCATGAGTTGTAAAGCTAGACAACTTTGTACAAATATATGGCATTGAATGTTAAAAGATCTTAACAAGAAACCAATACATTTGTACCCACTCTATGATTGCTAAAAGAGTTTAGAACTCTGAGGAATACTACCACAGAAGCCAATAGACTTCATGGAGCATTACAACTGGGTCCAGGTATATGTTGTAGTTATGGGAATAGTTCCCAATACTAGAACAACAACCAAAACCCTGTTACCCAGAGTGACTAAGGGTTGCTGACCAAAAGATTATCTGCCAATACAGTGAAATAGATTTCTGCGAATTTGTAGGAAGTCATTTGAAAGATATCAGTCAGTTGGACTTAGAGTTATAGGGGTTTAAAGTCAGGTAATATAAGAAGGTTGCAATTATGACTACCTCTGCAGATATAACCCGCAGATGAACCTGATCATTTTATAAATGAAGGAGACAATTGAGGCCAACTCAGTTCGACTTGAGAACTGGGACATAAGTCCGAAGACTCTAAAGATTGCATAATTACTATTGGGAACAGTAAAGTTCCTATGTTAGCAAAATGGTCATTATCGAAGAGTATGTGGTGGTTTTCAGGGTCTCCAGTTGTTTGCACCTTTGAAGAATACCTGACATTGCGAGTTATAACTAGAGAGGTACATAAGTTGTATGATAAATAAATGTAGTCTACAAACACTCAGACGTGGAATATAAATATCAATGTATTTTCTAAGCCTTTACATATTATCAAGTAACAGAGAAGAGACCTTAACATGCTCCGGCGCTCCTATTTTCCTCCTGTATAGTTTGGCAACACCACGTCAGCTATCGTGGGCCCCCCCCACTCCCCTCTACTCCCTCGATGGTTCCTGCCTAGGAGCACGGTTAACCCTTCCATCCTCCCCAGCTTTGGCCTCGCTTGTCTCTTGTCAGCTTGATGGGGGAGTTATCTGGGCTTGCCCAGTAGTCCTGTCTTGCTAATAGGGGCTCGCTCAGCTTTGGCACGGTCAGCTTCCTCTTTTCGCTTCCGGATGGCACTAGCAGTGGTGGACGTCCTTCTCCCCACTTGCATGATCCCCGTTGGGGAATGCCTTGGCTAGTAACTTCGGGGTCTGTCTCGTGGTGGAACTTGGCCATACCCTCCTAGTCGTCCAGTTCAAGTTTGGCTGCCCTCCTCACCTCGCCCTTCCACTTCCCTATGGCCGGTGAGATCCCTTCCACTAAGTGACACTATCTCTCGGAGAACAAGGGACTACATGAGAGATGCGGTAATACGACTACAGGATGGTTTCTGTTGGGTCTGCACTGGGGCCTTGGATCCTTCCTCCCTTTTTCTCTTCGGTCGCGTCAGCTGGTACCCTACTACTGTCGGCTGGTACCCTACTACCGCTCCCTCTTTTGCTGCTTCGGGCAGCTCCTTCAGCCCTCCCGGATGGACGGCTTGGGGCTTTTGTTCTGTCAATACCTCCTGCTTACAGCGGGCGCTCTTTCCTTTCGGTTTCTCCTGCTTGTGACCGTGGGCTATATGCCCAAGACATACGTTTATGTCACCTATACAGTGCGCCTATTCATTTTTTCAACTTCACGGGTGAGGTCTGGCTATTAGTTTGTCTTGCTGTACGGGACACGGGTTGGGCTAGAATCTGGTTGCTGTAGGCAAGGAATTGGTTTCGGCCATTCGTTTGGGGTTACTTTGGTTTGAGTTTTCTTCTGTTCAGTAGGGGGTGTACTGTCAGGATGGAGGTTTTTCCTTGCTTTGAAGGATGGGTTTCTGGGCTTTCTGTTTTTACCATTTGTAGATAGCCATGTGGGAGACTTGCGGGGGAGTTTTTTAAACCTAGGACTGGTCGGGTATTGGTGGCTCTAGGCAAGACCCCTCCACGCTCAAGTCGTGGGACCTTAGGATCGGGCACCTGGCTGCCAGTGTTAGCCTTTCTGGGGTCACAGTTTTTCTTCTGGCTGCTTGAGAACAAGGTAGGGAGGAGGTGCGGGTCTACATGGCTCAAGCTGATATGATCCCTGGCCTTACTTTCGTTAAAACGGATAAATAAATAAGATTATAAAAAAAAAAAAAAAAAAAAAAAAAAAGAGAAGAGACCTTAACAATATAATATTATTCTTACGATTCTACTTTACTTTACCTACATTACTTCGCTCTTTGTAGTCATAAATGATATGAGAGCAATCTGAGCCTTCCTAGACAATCTCTGTCTACTGAAACAAATCTTGGTTGACTTAGACAACTCTGAAGTCTATCAGGTTGTCTCCCCCTAACAGCCTCCTGAGCTTTTAGACATCATCTAGCAATAGAGAAGAGACCTTAATAATATAATATTGTTTTCCTGATTCTACTCTACTTTACTTTACTCATAGTAGTTATAAATGGAATCAGTAAACTCTTTGAGCATTCCTAGATAAATCTCCATCTATGAAACAAATCTCCTTTGCCTAGACAATTCTGAGTTTATATAGATCGTCTCCGTCTAAACTTAAGTTATAAGATTTAAATCACTTTCTAAACTATTAGACAAACAAGTATGCAGAAATTAGTTGATTATAATAAGATATTTTATCTGGCTTATATGGTACATTCATATTTTAAGCCTACTTATCATTTATTGAAGAGACAGAAATATAAGCATGTAGAAATATCACTATTCTGTAGCTAACATATTAAAACTTCTTACTTAATATGAGAAATACTTATCAGTAATTATGCTGTTCAGGAAATCCAGGAATTGACTGTTGGTACTACTTATAGTAGGAAGATCAAAATACACAGTTAAGTAATTATAGCAGACTCTTCTAACATGTACTGTGCAGTACTGGTATGTTACTAATTAGTTATATGATATTGTAAAGTTTTCTGTGTTAGATTATGACCTGGAGTAGCCTACCCCTGTACTTCTATATATAAGATTCATTGCATCAAATAGAGGACTCCAATAGTGGCAAGATTTATTTTGGCTGGAATGTTGTATAACCAGTGTTGACTTTGTTGGAAATCATGTTTGCTGCTTGACATGCTCAAGACTTTGTTCCCTCCTCTACTAGCATATCTGTCTACTAGTATTTTTACCTTTCTATCAGCAACACTACCTATCAATACACCTACAATTGATTCTTTTATTGTCAACTTAACAGTATATTATTGGTTCTCTATTTCCTGATCTTACAATTGTCTGCATATTTAATATACATTGTCAGGACAAGCTGTTTGTCCATTCCTGCCTATTTGCTCTACTCCTGCTACTTGTTTGTTAGTACATTTGCTCTGTTGGAATAGAGGTTCTCTTTGCATGCTTATGAAGAGTAATTCTGATAGAGAAGAATACGAGTATCAAGGGAGTTCTATACTATTAGGAGTCTTTGTTCCTTTACTTCTTTTATTAGTATAGGTGCATAGAAGGCAATTGGAGTGCAGGAGGAAAATTGGACTCAGAAAGTCTATTATTTGTTCTCTCTTGTATTAGTATTGGAGTAGATTTAAGAAATGGGAGATGGATGTAGGAAGTGCTAGTAGAGATACTGGTATATTGTGATTGCAGGAAGGATAGAATAGGTGATCTTTGTTGTTTATTTTTACTCCTGTTTTTTTTTTTTTTCTGTTAGATAGTTTAGTGGTGGAGTGAGAGATAGGGAGGTGTTTAATAGAGCAAATTGCATAGCAATCTTGGTGAACTTTTCTGCTTTTTGGTTATGCAGAGTTTTCACTGCACATTTAGTCATCCTCATTTCATTTCATTGTCACCGTTTGGTATAGTTCTGGCTCCGGTTGGCCTGTTGCTTCCTAAGATTCTTTCCTCTGCGGAGATACTCGAGGCCCGGTTTGCAATTTGGTGAACCTCTCCTCTCCTGCCCTAAAGAATCGGACAGTACCTTAATTCATACCTCTATGCTTTCGCACTAATTAATATACCCAATTCCCACAGCCGTTGAGTTTTCCGAGGCACCTTCCATGTTTGATCACGTTTGAAATGCAGTTGAAGAGCTAGTTGTCTCATTAGGGTAGAGTAAAACTGAGTAATTACTAATAATTGACGGTTACCTGCCGGTGGGCTGTTGCAAAATTCTTTATTGAACAGTTTGATGTCGCCGTTATCATATCTGATTTTTTCCTGTACCCGAACCTTATTATAAGCACAATACAGTTATGATAACTTCTTTGTTTTTACAAATAGGATAAGGACGCGCGCGGAAGTAGCCGTCCCCAGATTCCGTCAGGCTTGGCGCCATAATAACAATGGGCAGTTGAGTGTTCACTAAATTAGCTTAGGTCCGAACTTTTTACTTAAAGTTGCCTCTCAAGTTTCCAAAACCGCCCTTTCATCCCCTTCACCTCCACCATCCTCCAACCCACTTCCCTTCCACCATCCTTTCCCCCACCCGTTTTTCGGGCCTTTGTTACCGAAATCATCCTTACTCTTTTTCCGCACCAAACTTTCCGGAAATGTCTTACCTCGCAACTATTTACGAGGCCAGCAGTGTCCGGATTGCTATAAAAGCGGAATTCTTAACTGTGGGGGAAACATCTCTCATTGTCGCGTATGTTCCCTCTTACTTTGTGCGCTCTACTGCATGACCTATTCGCGCATACTTACAATAATTTCAAACTTAGTAAAACATCACATATCGAGGTTTACAAACTTGATGGACCTGGCATCGTTCTCGAAGATAAGTTTCCTATTTACGGGAGAGTGATAGCTCTTGCAGCTTTCAGGCCAGTGAAGTCCGCGACAGATCACCTTTTGATTGTGATTGGTAAAGTCAATTACCAATATTTCACGATATCATGGGATCCTGTTGCCAAAAAACCCAAAACCGAACATATGGCTGTGAATTTCTCCGAATACAATGCACCATTATCGGATTCTTTCCAGTGTTTGGCCGACCCTGGGAAAAATATGTTAGGGATTCACGTTTATAAAGGAATTTTCCTGGTTATTCCGCAGATTCAGCAGTCGATTAAAGGTTCTAGAAGGTCGCGCGCGGATTTAGATGTAGGCAACATCGGGAACCCGTGTGTTGTGAGGCTCAAGGAGCTGGAAATCCTTGATTTGAAATTTCTGTTTGGTACTATTTCGCCTGTACTAGCTGTACTTTATAAGCCTTCCGGAGCCGATGAGATGGCGGTTAATACATATGAACTATCTGTAAAGTCCGGTGAGGTTAAGCTCTTGGACTGGCGGATTCGGGATTTGAAGGGGGGACGGGAGGCTCTATTCCTCATACCTGTTCGGCCACCTTCGAACGGATTATTGCTCATTGGGGTAACCAAGATCCAATATTTCGACAATTATGGAAATAAAACCTTCCTGCCTGTCGACCCGCCTATGGTATGGGTTACTTGGGAGATGTTAAGTCCGGAGAGATATATTTTAGGAGACGAAGCTGGCGGGCTTCATATGTTGACATTATCAGCTGGTTTGATGGACACGAAAGTCGGTCTTCACTTAAAGCTGGTTGGAAATGTAAGTGACTGGAGGCTCCACAAGTGTATCACTTTGGCTAATAGCCTTAGGCGTCTATTCCAGAAATATTAGTCCACTTAAATCAAGGGCTTTTGTTTTTAGGCTCACACTCCGGCGATTCACAGCTCCTCCAACTGTATCAGAATGGGATTAAGCCGATGGTTCGAGTCCAGCAAGTTCTTCGCAACATAGGCCCAATAGTAGACTTCAGAGTTATGGATTTAGACTATTCAAGGTCTGATGAGGTAATGCGGCAATATTCGCCTGGTCATATTAGATTTTTATCAGCGAGTGGCGGGCACACGCAGGGCCATCTAAGGACCATAAGAAGTGGAGTTGGCCTATATGATTTAGGCTTTCTTGGAGAGATGAGTGGAATCCGGGGCCTATGGAGCTTACGGTCAATTCCTGGTAGCAGGTATTCCATATTCTCATTATCTTGTAATAGTTAAAGATACTAACTTTCATTCCCCAATAGCTTTGATGATGTGCTGGTTGTCTCCTTTATTGAGGAAACTAGAATATTTAAGTTCGACAATTCTGGAGAAATTGAGGAATTGTACGAGTTCATGGGATTTGCGCTTAACCAAAGAACTATTCTCGCCCATAGTGTTGTTGGCGGCCGGTTCTTGCAAGTTACCGCTACTGCAGTTAAGCTCGTGGATGTCCGTAGTAACACTCTTATCGCAGAGAGTTATCCAGACAAGAGCTTAACTATAACCATAGCAAGTGCCAATCAAGACTTGCTAATATATGCGATGGGTCCTACCTTGGTTCTTTTGAATCTTGCGCGAGATTTGGAGGAGCATATCAGAACCACCTTCGAGAACGAAATAAGTTGCCTCAACATGCCTAGTTCCCCATCCACAATCTGCGCAGTTGGCTTCTGGACTGTGTCACTGGTCCTAATTCTTAGCGTACAATCGTTCTCCATTTTATCTCAGGAGATATTGTCTCAAGAGGACAGTGCCGCTACTCCCCGTTCATTACTTTTTGCGAGACTTTTAGAGAACGGACCGCCGACCTTGCTTGTCGCCTTAGGTGATGGAAGCATGTTCACTTTCGCATTGAATGAAACGACTTGCGGCTTAAGTGAAAGGAAACATATAATTCTTGGTGCGCAGCCAATACGGTTCCAGTCAATACCTGGGGGAAATGGTGGAGTTACTGTTTTTGCAACCTGTGACCATCCGAGCGTTATATATGGTAGCGATGGGAGAATTGTATACGCTTCTGTTACCGCCGATAAACCAACCTACGTTACCTCCTTTAATTCTCCCAGCTTTCCAGATGCTGTCGTTATAGCTAGCGAGGATGATTTAAAGCTCTCCGTTGTGGACCCTGTGAGGACTATGCATGTCCAGTCATTACCAGTAGGGGATGTTGTCCGAAGGATAGCGTACTCAAAGGAGAAGAATATTATTGCAATTGTTACAGTTTCAAAAGTTCCCGATACGAGGACAGGCGATTATCTCTATTCATCTTGCATTCGACTTGTCGATAACACTGCTTTTTCTGTGGTTGATTCCTATGAGCTAAACCAACTGGAGCTCGTTGAGAGTCTCGCATCTGGCAAGATCTGTGGTGGAAACGGATTACTCTCTGAAGGGTTTCTAGCAGGAACCGTATACCCTGGCGGGGGTAGGGACGAGAGCGAAAAAGGCAGAATCATTGTTTTTAACGCGAGTGAAACGAAACGCATCAAGCTGATAGTATCGTATGATACTCCGGGTTCGGTAAATGGAATACAGATTGTAGGAGAAGGAAAATTCGTGGCTGCTATAGGCCGAGAGGTACGACTTCTGTCATGCTCCCTTCCCTATTAGGATTAAATTATTAAACTATTACATGTTTCGAACAGATTCATCTTTACTCTCTTAAATACACTGATATTCAGAGTAAAACAGCTGCAAGCGAGTCGGTAGGCGCTACTGGATGTACAATCACCAAGCTAGCAAGCTTCAAAGCACATAGTACACCTCTTGACGTTGCAGTCTACAATGACATTATCGCCGTTTGCGATTTTATGCATGGTCCTTCGATTCTCCAGCATATAGAGGATAAAGAAAACAAAAGTTCTGAGTTTGTTGAGGTTGCAAGGGCACCAAAGCCGAGTTGGCTTACAGCTCTCGAGCTATTGGATGAAAAGACTGTTTTCTGCGCTGACACGGATGGTAATTTGGTTGTTTGGCAACGGCAACTCTCTGGAGTCACTGAAGATGACAGGAAGCAACTGCAGCAAATTGCATCCATGAAAATTGGAGAGGATATTGATAGGATTAGAAGGAGTATGTGTCCCTGTAATTCCATATTCATATACGGATAAAACAACTAATTTTTTAAAGTCTGCAATCAGACCTTGGCTGGAAGCAGGGTTCAGCCAAAAGCCCACTTATCAACGGTAATTTTCCTCAATATATAATGTAATATATGGCGATTATTCTGACATTTCGGACAGGTAGATGGAGCTATATTACTCTACGGGCGACATTCAAAGCTACCGTGATAGATCTATTGATCAATCTTCAGACCAATCTCGCAAAACGCTGTTAGGGGATTAGGGGGCCTCCATTTCCTATCCTACCGCGCAATTTCGACATCACCGGATAACTTGAGCACAGAGCCAATGCGGTTTGTCGACGGAAATTTCATAGAAACTTTCTTGGAATTGCCTGGTGATGTTGCGTTAGCTGTCGTACAAGGGAACGGGAAGGCGATCGATAGCTTGGGAGTAAGTGTTCAGGATGTGGTGGATACTTTAGAGGCGCTTAAACGTCTACGTTGAAGATTGTCTTCTCTGATCGGGTCTGACTACTACTATGGCGATTAGTGCTTGCTCCCTCATAGAAAATCAGCATATTTATCTCCGCCAACTATTCTCTGTATCTTCATATTATGTCTCCTGGCTGGATATTTCTGTCTCTTGACAGAAATGTTATAGAAGATTATAATTATATCCTACTCGTGGATTAGCTTGTAGACTATTCCAGTTATAACCCTCACAGTAAGTTAACATTCTTAAACAGGTAAATGTTAAATAAGATATTACATACAAATATGAAATTACTAGTTGTAATACTAGTAACTTACTTGTATGGTTCCAGACCATTAGAATCAACCCTTTAGACTATGCATCTTTAGTTTGATAATTAATCAACAATTTGTAGTTTTTTGTTTTACCTACAATAAATAACTTGAATTAAGTTACTTGCATACATAAAAACTTTATACTATATTACTTCCTAATTAATATTTACACCTTATCTTATGATGAATTTAGGATTGTTGAAGTAAATATAAAATAATGTATTTTAGTAATAATTTTAACAAAAGTAAACCATTCTGTGTAATTGATAACATTTATAATATTTCTATAACATAACTTAAAAATTACAACTTATACTTACTAGTACTTGTTTAACAAATATATCTATTATAAAAAAGAAGCTTTTAGGGAAAATACAGTCATGTAATCAAACATGCCAAGACAGACACATCATGACAAGACAATATGTTAGCACTATCCCTTAGTCCATCGGGTGCTGTGCCCAAGATATCTGAAATCAGTGGAAGACAAACTAGTAAATAATAGGCTAGAGGATCTCTTAAGGGAGTCAGTGTAAATATCAGAATCAGGTGGATGGCAACTCTGTAAGCTAAGAGGAACAAAAAAAAAAAAAGGCGATATTACCTCAGCAACTTCATTTCTATGATCAACAATTAGTATTTTTCTTAACAAATATGCTTTTTACAACAACTCTCAAGAGGATCTTGCAGTATCAAAATGTCTGAGGTGGAAGATTTGGATTGGTGGAGTGAAGATACAGAGACCGAGGGCTTAGTGGGGGTGGAAAGTAGTGAGGAGGAAGGTGGAACGAATGAGGGTGAAGCAGAGAACTCAGAGACATTAGAGGATTGGGAGCCAGAACCACAGATTTCACAAGATATGCTATTACAATCTGAAGACTATCAACCACCCTCAATCGACAAAGTACTATACTTTACACCATTAAGACACCCAAGCTCAGCACACCAAGATCAAGCACGTATTCCAGCTGGTGCCAACATCCTTTAACCTGTTTTAAACTATTTGTTAGCGATAATACCACATGTGAGCTTGTTAAAAATACCAACCTCTATGCGGAAAAAAAAAAAAAGGTTGGAACAGGAACATCGCGTACCTGGCATGCAACTCACGAAGGCGAGTTACAAGTTTGGTTTGCAATAGAGGGTTTGCGCAAGAGGACCTAGGTAGGAGGAAAACCGGTTATCTCGAGTTAAGCTAAAAGTCAGGGTCACCCAGGTGGGTGGCGCCACCTGGAATAAGTGTAAATACTGGCTTCGAAGACCTGAAGAACTCTCATCAGTTCATACCATGACACCGGTGAAAGAAATACCATATCAAATTAATACAAGTCAACTTTGAATACCCAATATGTACAAAATGCAGTCTCCTTCCACTCCTGACCCCAATCATACCTATTTTCTTTCCTCCTTTGAGTCAGCCACTACAGCCAGTTCCACGACTGTGGAAGAGTCAGCCACTGATAACTCAAGATCGAGCAATTCTCCTGCAACTATACGCCTGGGGCGGAGAACAACAAAATGGTCAGCATGGATGGATCGAGTACTGGTACGGCAAGTGTTAGCCACAGATCCTATAAACTGTGGTAGAGGGAGGACTACTGCGAAATGGGCAGAGGTTTCTACAATTTTAGGAAGTATAGAACCTCAACCCATATGTCGTAGTGGAGAGTCCTGTCGGCAGAGAGTTAAAAAACTTGTTGAAATATATAAGGTATATTAGAAATATAAAGTACTTATAAGAGATTGTTAATAAGGAAAGAATTAGAAATCCGAACTCATCTCGTTGAGAAAGACCGGTACCGATGAAGAATTCGGAGAGTTTGAGCTCAATATGGTAGAGCTTGCAACCCGATGGGACCAGTCCAGTACCGATCCCGAGATACGAAAGGCTACACAACAGAAAGCTGCACAACTTGAGGCAGACGGAAAGCGAGTCCAGGAGGATTCTATGTGAGGGTTAGTCCGGGAGAGAGAAGAGAATATCGGAGTAGGGTATAGGGATAGTGGAGAGGGGGTAATGCCGGCAAAAAAAAAGGCAAAGAATGTAATGGTAAAAGATGTGGATAATGTTTTATATGAGTTTAAGGAGGGAATGAAAAGAGATGGAGACGAGTTGAAGGAAATTGAAAAAAGAGAGGATGAAAAGCATCAAGACTTGATGCATGCAATATTAGGACTTACAGATGAGATGAGGGAACAGAGTGAACGGTGGTCTCATGATGCGTATTTGGAGCGCGAGGCAAGGAAAGATGAGTTGGTTTTAATATTGGAAGCATTAAGGAAGGATAATGAAATTTAATTTTTATATCCTTCTAATATTGAGGGTAAAGACAGGAGGTATATATCATAAAAAATTAATGAATACATCGTCCAATTCTGTCATTCTTCTACCAATCCCCTTACATATTAGTTCTATTCTATTTCTACATATTTCCCACTAAAACTATCTTAAAAGCTCAGGAACGGTATTTTTACAATCTTGATTTCAATAAATCCCGCCCGTTCAGCTCTCTACACGGTTCATTCTTCTTCAGGACTGTTGAGATTGTAGCTAGTTTGGTAGAGATTGGAGATTGTAATATCAACCAGGAAGACTATACCGGTACCATACCTCTAATGTAGGCCACTTGTAATGGGCACAAGGGGGTGGTGAGAATACTATATAGACGGATCAATGTCAGTCCCAACAAGCCAAATAACAATAGTTGAATACCACTCTTGTGGACCACTTGCAATAGGCATGAGAAAGTGGTGAAAATGCTAATGGGACGGCTGGACGACATCAACCCTATGATAGCCAACATATATTGTGATAAATTATATATTTAATTATGAAAATACTGAAGCAATAGAGGAGGTTCAAGTAGTTCCTCTTCAATAAACTCTTCCTGCTCATTACCTCCATTATTCTCTTGGATAACATTAAAATACTGAGTGACTTGAGGCCTATGAAGGCATACATGAGTATTATGCAAGAGTGCAGCTACTCTAAACTGCACTCCAACAGGTTGAAGTAAATGCTTTTGACCTTTAACATAATCCAAAAATCCGAACATGTTTACCATCTCTTTAAAGGCCCATTCAGCTACAATTCTTACTCGTGATATCGAATGATTCCAATGCCGCTGATTGTGAGATATCTGAGCGCCTTGATATGGTGAAAGAAGATGGTTACTGATGCTATAGGCTGGATCACCGTAGGGTTGGAGGGGGTTACCATCAGGCATATGTGCATACCGTTCCAGAATTGCTGGTAGGTTTGACTCCCACCACAGAAATGCATCATTTCTTCGGCTGTCTACTGGGCCAAAGAGATGGCTAATCAAACCATCAGGAGTAATAATGGCATGGTACTTCAAGCAGTGCTTGTGCTTCCAGCCATTATAACAGGTACATTGTCGGCGAGAAGGGTGTGCAATTCCTCGAATCGTGCCATCGATAAAGCCCTAAACTGTTCTGCTCAGTGTACCTTTCCTCGCTATAACAGATGCATACTGAGCTAACTTATCGGGGGTCAATCGTGCAGCATCCCACTCAAGTAAGTGTTTTCACCTATCATGAATCATTGACTGTACTGTGCTGCTAATACGAGATATGCGCTCAACTGGCCAGCCAAATTTCAAAGCCAGGTCACTCAGACAATTGGAGTATGCTAATCGTGCAAGTAGCATACAAAGCGCAGTTAGGCGATTCTCAATAATACGGTTGTCAGCTCTGCTGGTTTCTGGTAGCTGTAAGGCCTCTACCAGCTGTTCAATTTCACGTCTCATAAAACTTTATTTGTAAGTATTCTCCTTCCCTTTTATTTTAATGTACAATCATGATCTTTAAACCTACCAAAATAGATTTTGCCACTCCTGCTCTTCCAGCATATCCAAGTCAATTCGTCCTCCTTCTCGAAGCGCTCCTCTCTTCCGAATGTTACTTCGTGTAACTGCTGTCCTTAGGCGTAATAAGGCTTCAAGTTGTTGTGCATTTCACTTGTATTGGAAACGTGAGGCTAGCATTCTTGAGTATGTTCGAGTTGCTTGATGTCAATTGTGGGTTGTTGTTTACACTTTTTAGATATATCATTCCAAGACTATGTGTTCATTCTGCCATCATCTATAATCACCACCTAGACCTGTTGCACAAACTTATTTTTCCACCTAGGTCTATTTTCTGTTAACTGCCACCTAGGTCCCCGTGTGCAAACCTTCTAATTATCATATATATGGGATTGCATTGAAACAGTGCAAAAACCCTTCGGCCAAATCTCTACTGGAATTCCGAATACAACTGTATGGCTTCACCTATGCGATTTATGAGTTTAACGCGCTTCGAACAAATAAAAAGATATTTTCATATATCAAAAGAGGAGGAAATAAGTGCCAGTGAGCCTGCATTACATACCAGCTCCACAGTATACTCAAAATCCAATCACCCCCAAAGACCATCCAAAAGGCAAGCATCAGCATAGTATGATAAGGTTGAACCAATGCCTATTCCTCTATGGTTAGCATCTCAGAAATATCTTCTTCCTACAACAGAGATTGCTGTCGATGAAATAATGGTAAAGT